GCACACCGTGTGGTTTTAGTCGGTTCGAGTCCGACACACCGCCCCGCCGAACGAGAGCCCCGGCGGAGTGACGGTCCGAGGGGATTTCTACACGTTAAAAAAAAAAAAGTACGACAGCAGTCGATTCGCGTAAAAGATCGAAGTTCAACCGAATTGTAGTTAACTTAATGCCGACCCTAACCTAGTTTGGGGAAAAACTCAGAGGAAGGAAGGGGAGTGTACACAATAACCAAAGCAAGTTAGGGTCGCTCGAACAGGCTGTTGTCGGAAAGTCTGATCCTTCTAAATACTTGGTAAAATCTGTAATTATATTGTCTATACAGCTACCACAGTAACCAAATAAAGTATAATTATTGCGTTAAGTCTATGATAGTGTGGTGACATCTAGAAATGCTTCAGCAAACTCACACAGTACACACACACGGTTAACACATTCAGCTTATGGCTCCTAAGTTACAGGTGTTCATGGGCGGCGATAGGCACTTTCCATCAGGTAAACCGTGATCTGCAAGTTTAACACCTCTTTAGTAAAGAAAAACAGGAATTGGGATAATGATCACTAGGATCGTTATCGATATCATTACCGTTATCACAGAGAGTAAAAAAAAATAGGTACTGAGATTGATAAGAAAACCTTATGTAACAAAATTCAAAAGATTAAAACACGTAATAAACATTGATTTTTGTACACAATAAGTATAATGTGACAGTTTTAAACTGTTTTTCCTTAAAAGTTTTAATAATTCAAAAAATTACACAAAAGAGGTAATATCTATATCTATATCTATATTCGAATCTTTAGTTCATGTAGAACTGCAAATGAAGTGACTCATACACATCTTACCTATTTGAAAGCTAGTTTGAACAAATTGATCACTATGTTTACAGCAGCAATTCTGCAAAACCGTTAGACAAAATCCCGTGATTTAAACATTAAATAGGTAGGTAAGTAGATATATAACCGTTAATCGTGGTAGTAGAAATCTTACAGCACTAAATAACCTTAAACTTGTTATGTCCTCGTAAACATGTTTGTTGCATTGTCTTGTTACTTAACGTAGAAAACCTACATCATGATATAAAAAAGTAGTTTTCTTATATTATGAGTCTATTAGCGTATTTATCACAATTGATTAAATTGACATATATATAAATATTATAAATTTGTCTCATTTTTAGGAACTATTTCATTGATATTAATTAAATTTTGAAAATGTGACTGCAAAATATTTTTTTTGAGCACGCTCAAGTAGTGACATCTATACAATATTTTATAAACAACTAGCACAACAACACAACGTTGTTTCCAATTAGTCCAGTTTCTCATAAACCATAAATAACGCCATCTGTGACTGGTTTCATGTAAACGTGTTCTAGTTTAAGAACAATTAGTACCATTTTGATTTTCTGTCGTTGTAGATTTTGTGTCGCTAGTTGAAGTGTTAATGTTGCCCAGTTAAAAAAACATGATGACAAGTTGACAAAAAAAGGAATTGTCACATTACGTTTGTTATAGTAGTTTTTTGTAGTTATTTTTTAAAGTCCTTCACAATTTAATAATCCACAGATTCATTGAACTTTAGTTCTTGATGTGTAATAGACATAGGGAGACATACACACTTAAATGTAAACATAGTCAACAATTTTAATGGAAAAACTGTGGTCCATAATCATTAATTAGAAATGGCCATTGCCAGTATTTATGATTATGGAATTATAATAAACTCACTCGGTAACAAGTAATTCCTCCATGTAATCAGTTTTGACTATTTATATTTATAATATAATAAAATCAACAGATTGAATTCGACAGAGATTTTAGTAGTTTTTCAACTCTATCAGCTAGTAACATTTTTAAATTTGACAGCAGGCTGTTTCGCATCGTTTGTTTTGTCAAGCAATATAAAGTCAGTCAGTTGTCAACCGTATTATTGTGAATGAACGTGAGTGACATACGGCTAATTTATCTATAACCGTTTAAATTAAATACGATTATTAAAAGTCACAAATATAGAAATGTGGCTGATGAATAATAAAAAAAAGACTGACTAAAAATTAATTAATAAACGTACATTTGGCTCAACAATAAAATTATTTTAATCTACTACAATGGTGAAAGATGGACGTAAATATCTGTCGTTGTCGATCTAAGTTGTAGATTTAACGCAGACGCTTTATGAAATGTGATTAAGTGCATCAATAATTAAGGATTTCTATAAACACCGTGAGTATTATTGATGAATGTAACTTTACTGCAATATATTAAACCGATAAAGATTGAATCTAGAGTTGATTAATGTCGCGAATTGGGTTATTACTATCAATACCCAATTACATTCTATAATTTAAAAACCAATTTATAGGATACAGACCAAAAGAAACGAGGTTACCTAAGTTTTTATCTATTTATAATGAAAAATTGTATAAGCAAGGATTCTCTTGTTTCGTTTTAGTTGGTGATAGAAATAACTTTCTAAGTTGAAATGAATTGTGTATAAGTATATTGCTTTCTTTTGATGAGCTATTTATTTGTTTAACTAGTACACTAAAATAATAATTTGGAATATTTTTTTAGGATATTTACATTTTATTAAATTTAAAGAAACCTTCATGGCCATATTTTTTTTTGTTATCAAATCTGTCTCCACTACACTTGAGATTATTCAGGTTATATGAACTTGCAGATAAGATATGAGTAAAAGTGTTACAATTGTTATTTTTATGTTAATTTAAGTTATCACATCACCAATCTTATGTATTTTTTTAGAAGGCCACATGTTTCAAACATTTTTTTTAATGTGATTTTAAATTTGTGGTCAGCAAAGAAAGCATAGTTTAATAGCAATACTTGCAACAATATTATTTGATCAAATTTGTAATTATTTATAGTTTTATAGAATTGAAACTACCTTTTTTTTTTTAAAAGTGTGAGCTAAATAATATAGTACAGTCTCCATTACAGACATTTACTTGAGTGGGGCAGCTGGGTGTTCTTGAATGAGAATTTCTGGTCTCTTTTCTTGGCATAAATAAAAAATTAACATTATTATCACGAAATTTTATTACACTAAAGCAAAACTACAAAATTTTCTAACAAAGTAGCTTTCAAACATATTATATAGGTACATATAGAGCAAAATATTTAAAAACAAAATTTAACTCATAAATTAAATTATCTACTAACTAAATGTTGTTAAATGAATAACAATTCAAACCTGATACCATAAATTTACTTGAGCACAACAGATATTCTTAATAAAGATTTCTAGTTTTAAATATGACATTGACAGGATATGAAGATAGATCATTATTAATTTTACAAAATATCTGATTAAATGGCTCTTTTTTACTGATTATCAATTAAATATTCATTCATAAATTGCTACCTGCTCTGGTATTTGGCACATAAATTATATTTATCTGTAATAAATTAATGTTAATAGATTTATATTGATAAACAAGGTTTCTCATCTAACTTAAGAATTAATTCTCATAAATTTTTCTTTAAAAAATAAGTTGTCTTGATTATTATTTTTCTACCTCAGTGTTGAATGAAAATATTTGATAGACAGTAGTAACTTACTGAACTTTACCAGTAAGTTAAATTATTATCTTTAAATTATGAAAGCCCTAAAGTGTTCATTGTGTTTAGATGCTATTTCATTGTCTAATCAGCCTAGCTTCTGTAGTTACTGCAGCAAAATAAAACTAGGATGGAGCTTATGGAGTTGTGATGTAATGTGCCAAATGGATCATCATCATCAGCCTATCGCAGTCCACTGCTAGAAATAGACCTCTCTCATTGAAATGGATGATTCTCTATAAAGATATTAAGCTTGTACTGTGTTGTTTGGCCATATTTAAATTAATCCTATTAAATAATACCTACTAAGAACAAGAAATGTTATTGTTTAATGATAATCATGAACACACCCTCTTTTGGAAGAATTAGCTTCTTTTCGAAATATCATAATTTATTTTTCTGGAATATGTTTACAGAGAACTGTTCCTAACACATCAAAATCGTGTATGTCAAATGATTTGGATTTTTACATATGATTAACATTCCTATAATTATACTACTTGAACGATTAGAAAAAAAAAACTAGCTTTTCATGTGCAATGCCTATACTTTTGAAATGTCTATCAATACTTATTTGTCTCCTGTCTTTAGAATTATCGGATGGCATATTTTCTGAATACGTAGCATTGTTCAGTTGTTTTTATTCCAGTAAACACTAAAGTATTTTTTCTCCTCTGCCACTGTACAAACCAGGGGACTGAATATCAAACAAATTATTGTAATGTATAATTTTGTTAGTTCAGGCGTCCCTTGTCAATATGTGCACAAAGTTTTATGATGATTGATTGAGTAATAAAGGAAACTAAAAACAAACAAGTTGACTTTCGAATTTATAATATTAGCGCTAGGGTTAATGCACAGTAACCCTTTTGGAGTAGCAAGTTAACGTGTTAACGAAATAAAACGTAGATGTCAGATTTAATACGTTTTTTTATGTGTCTATAAGGTAATCCAGGACGTCTCTATAGACTGAAGATTCATGTGGCGCATAAGTACCTATATTAAGTATTTTCTGTGCTCTTCATATTACTTCTTTTTTTAAAGGAAGTTAATTAGCCCATGAGGCGAAGCGCCTACCATCAAGACTATATAGAAAATGGATGCTGCTCATCACTGTTTTCCATTCGCTTTACGAAAATAGTGACGCATCAATCAAACCCGGCGCTTCGATCAGTCAGGTTCCAAACTTTCGAATGAAACAAAAACAAAAAGATTTCGAAGAAGGAAGAACCTTAACCTTTTTAAAAAACGGTCAAAAATTACTTAATTGGTGAGGGGGAGAGGCTTGATCGATGCGTCACTAATTTCTTAACGCAAATAGACTATACTCTATGTTATTCTTATTAACACTCCTCCACCTTTCATTTTTTTGACCCAATTTTTAACTTAGCTGTTCTTATTTTCCAGGCGTGCCGCCATGACAGCCGACGAGTCCAGTGTGCGTGTAGCCGTACGGTATGTCCTTTGATTCTATCTGGAAGTAACCTGGGTATTTTGAAATTTTAAGATAGCTATGACGATAATTTATGGGCTAAAATAAATACTTACCGTTACATATAGGTGCAATTTTCGTATTATCACTGCGTCTTGAAAAACAGTAGTCAGTAATTTTTGATACTGTGTTCACCCATGGTGTGAACCAATTTTATCCGCATACGTTAATGTGATTATACTCTACATTTGTATAAATAATGTATTGTCTCGTACTATATAAATATGATTTTCCATAATCTGATCCCAAACTAGGCAAGAGACTATGATAACCAGACTGCTGATAAACATATTTATATATTTTTAAATACACGCATATTTAAGATAAATTACACCCAGACACAGAACAAACGATCGTGTTCATCACACAAATATTTGTCCTGAGTGGATCTAACCCACGACCTCCGGCTTAGCAGTCAGGGTCATTAACCACTAGACCAACAGGCAACAAATAGTAATAGCGATACAAGTGTAGTGCAGAAAAGCGTTTTGCGTTGGTTCCATTTTTTGGGCCTGCTTCTACTCTGGAACTCAATTTACACTAGCATATTAAGATTTGTTAAACATCCTTTTGCGATACTCTGAGCCTAATGTATATTTTTGGAGTCGAGAGAATTCTTCACTCTTCGGCTCACAGCACGTTCTCGTGAAAATAAGTCTCAAATCTCACTCCCTTATACTGCATCATTGACAGAATACGTTGTCCAATAAAAGGTTTTCCATTGATGGCTACCTAAGCGTTTCTTTCTCCGAACATTCTTTAGAAATATAGTAACTTACAGAAGATCTTACACGGACCAACTTCTCTCACGAGTAATGGAAATTTCTTTCATGTTTTAATCAACGCGACGCGATCTAATACAATCTCTGCACAACGTGATAGATCCCCCAATTCCCTCTCAAATCACAAAATCGTGACGTTTACGAGATATCACACCTCACTTGTCAGCTATAGTAATGTGCCTACTGATTAATCACAGTGGAAGATATATATACTTCTTTATCAGAGAAAAACGGACAATATTTTTCTTAAATTTACGTTTCAACAAGAATAATAAGTAACGAACTATTGTTAGTTGCGTTCGTGTTGTCTTTGTGCGTTATGCATTCCTTACCATCATGTCGCAACATTAATGTCATTATTATAATGGATATTAATTATTACATGCGTGACGTACTTCTTTTGGTACGGTACACCTGGGTAATTTAATGTAATTAACATATTGGAGTATAGAGTCGTCTTTAATTGCTTTCATTATTAAAATGTATCTTTTAACAAACTTTAGAGGATTGTTTTTTCTGGTGAGTCTGACTATGTATAGGTGTCAATTGGCGGCGGTGGTCACTTTCAATCTGGAGACCTGTCTGCTCGATTGCCTCTATGCAAAAAAAAAGAATATTTATTACTAGCGACCTGCCCCGGCTTCGTCCGGGTGCAATGTAGGTAGTAATGTGGTGTGAGTACAATATGCATGTATTATACATATTATAAACCTTCCTCTCGAATCACTCTCTCTATTGATGAAAATAACATTAAAATCCGTTGCGTAATTTGAAAGATCTAAGCGTACAAGAACGGGAAGCGACTTCAATTTATACTATGTAAAGATTGCATGTCTTATTGCATTACTAGGTATAAGTAAAGGTAAAGCTAGTTAAATATAAATATTTTTTAACTAGCTTTTATTATTGCCAGGCGATGTTCCTATCGACTTTTCAATTCACAGACGCATATACGGGCAACCCAGGCTTCATCTATTTACCGCAGTTTTAGTCCCATTTTCCATCCGAGACCTGCTACTTCACCCTAGCTCCCTCTTCCTTTCCTTTTCACAATGTGCCTTTTTCCTTTGTTACTTTTGAAAACGATTACATACGCAAGGAGGGCTGCCGTCAGGCAGACGGTCGGCCATTAAAATTCGGGAAAAGGCAGGAGAATTATATAGATACCTATACTAAACTAGCATTTGGTCGCGAATTGACTATAATCAATTTATTAAATCAATTTATTAAATAATTAAGCATAACAAACATACAAACTCAGATTCACGTTAACAATTTCAGTTAGGGTTATTTACGTACTGTACCATTATTTTATAAATTTCTTGTGAGTGACAATATTGCACTCGTTAATACTAGGTCAGCCATGATGCAAAGTACTTCGTATTATGTCTCGTAAATGTTTATGTTGTTGCTTTATTAAATAATTACATAAGCTATTGAATATCTCCATTACAAAGTGTGACTTATTGCGTTGTACAAGACTTGTCACCACTCAATATATGATGTAAATTGCATGTACCATTTGTTTGCGCCAATGTAGTAACAGCATGACCGAATAGTGCCTAATTTATGTAAATATCTGACCCAAAAACGAAAATTCTCTATGAAATCTTACCCGGATATATGACTGGTGTATATACATATTATGTATGTGTTTGTGTGTAATGATGTGCTGAAGCTTGTGTGTTTGCGTGAACAATAGGGTTGACAGTTTAAAATATTGCGTATTCTAACAATAAACCTCTTTGGACAGATATTTTGTAATTGTTATTGTTGAAGTAATGTCTTGTTGCATCAGTGGAGATGTGTTTGTGCATATAATGTTTGAAACGTGTTCGCGTAATCGTCTTTTAGTCCGGTCATTTTAGACATAAAAATAGTGATCAAATAAAAAAAATTCCGACAGAGCCAAATCTTCGTAGAGACCTTAGGTTTACCACAAGGAATAAAGTGTCAAAAGTCCCCATCAGTCCCATGTGAGCTTAGGGACTTATTCGGGGCCCAAGGTCAACATTTTAGGTTTTTTGGATTTTTCTCAAAAACGGTAAGTTTTATCGAAAAAGTACCTCAGAGCAAAGTTGTAGATCTTAAAATTCTCTATAAAAATGGTCCCTTAAGACCCACTATTTCCCAGATATTGCGCTTGTAAGAATCACGTTCTACATAATATGCACACATTTCCAAACCACCTGTAAGGTAGTGTACTCGGCGCGTTTTTTTTAACGTGGTATCCCCGGTAGGCCTATTCCATACATATATATTCTATACATTAATATCAGCATTATCTGCAACATATTGAACAAATGTGCCAGTTTCTGGTGATAAAATGTGAGGTGGGCGACTGAAAACTGCTGCTACTTCATACTTCATTGTTTCACTGTAAGATGCGCATAAACCAAACGATGAGAAAATTTGTATAAGCCGTTTTGAACCAAACCGCCGATGGAAAAAAACTGAAAGACCCAGCTGTAATTTAGACTTGAAGGATCTAGGACGAACAGCAGTCATTATGCTATGACTAATATTTGTGCAAACTAACTTTAAATGATCCAAATCATGACGCTTATTTTTAAGAATGATTTGTCCCAAAAAAAAAGAAAATGATTCGGGAATATAGTTATTTATATCTTCAAACATTCTACCCGGTGGCGGGTACATAGTATTATCAAATATACAAGATTGAATATCTTCTCGAATAATTTCTGCCGCAGCTTTTAAAGTTTTCCACCGTTTTTCCTTTTCATTCAAGTTTTTGTTATCAGACCAGGCTTGACTTAAAATGTCTTGGTAATTGTCTACAAAACAAATAAATGTTAATTTTCCAGGCTTCTCTGTAATAATAATTCTACTACCATACTTTAATTTCAATCGTATTTTTATAATCCCGTTTTCTAAAGCTACATTTTGGCAAACATTCTTCAGTTCATCTAACGAAAACTGGCAGTCATCGCTACTTTCAATGAAATTGTCTGTGGTGGACTTACTTTTGAAGTACTGGCCTGTTCTTCCTCACGTTGTCTTTTTGATGCAGAGATTGAAGTTTTCCGGGTGTATGATTTTCTGCAATCCACGTGAATTGTAACGGACTTTTGGCTTCTTAAATAATCAGCAAACTCATCACTTCTCGCGACACTTGCGTTGACTAAAGTTGGCATTCCACGACTGACCACAACAGTTTCATCTTCAGTCAAAAGTTTATTACAAGTAAAGCAAAATTGTGACATTTTGCGCAATATCTGCGAAATAGTTGGTCTTAGAGAAAAAATTATAGGGATGGTCCCTATAATTTTTAATTATATATTATAATTTTAATTTTTTTATAGAGAATTTTAAGATCTACAACTTTGCTCTGAGGTACTTTTTCGATAAAACTTACCGTTTTCGAGAAAAATCCAAAAAACCTAAAATTTTGACATTGGGCCCCGAATAAGTCCCTAAGCTCACATGGGACTGATGGGGACTTTTGACACTTTATTCCTTGTGGTAAACCTAAGGTCTCTACGAAGATTTGGCTCTGTCGGAATTTTCTTTATTTCAATTGTCTAAAATGACCGGACTATTGTGTATACTGTACTCAATAAAGGTACAGAAATACTTTAATTAGTAGTAATGTTGTTAGCAATTCGCCTAAAAATAAACAATCAATAAACAAAACCTGAAATGTGTATTTTACACAAAATTAACATTATCATTATCATATTATTAAAATAACTATGGCCGCCTAAACTAAGGTTCCCAATTCAATCTCAGTGAAATACATGGTGATCGCCGCTGAAGCCTTCAAGCATTTTTCTAGGGGTCGTGATCTTAAATTGTATTAGAGTAACTGTTGCACCGCACTGTACTGCCGACTAGTAATAATAATAACTTTACACATCTCACACACGGCCGTCTGACCCCATACTAGGCAAAGCCTGTGCTGACTGCTGATAAACATACTTAAATATTTTTAAATACACATTTTTACATAAATTACACCCAGACACAGACCAAATGATCATGCTCATCACACAATTATTCTTATTAGGAATCCGCCTTATCAGTTAAGGTCACTAACCACTAGAGTAACAGGCCAATCAAAGAGCGAGAGAAAGCTCTCACTAGAGAGAGATACTTCCGTGCGTTGATAATGTTTATTCGTATGTGTTGCCTGCGGACGTATTTCTTGGAATAGTAGGAGA